CACAGGTTCACTAGAATTGGTAGACGAACATCAACAAGGTAACATTGGCAAATTATTCTTCGTCTGGCATTGGATGATGGGTGATGTCAAGAAAACGTAGCTGGGTTTGGCAGCATTCATTGCCACTTACGTAACCCGTTCATACCCGAACAAGAGAGCTAGAGACAAACTTGTCACTAGCTCATCCTTTTGCTATTATATTTTGACCTAATGTTTGATCCAAACATATTAACCTCCTGTTATTTTTTTAGGGTTTACATTCTAATGAAGCAATTGGTGTTACACATTCTTCTCAATATGGATGGGAATGTTTTTTCTGGTCAATGTTAACGTGATATCATAAGTAATTAGAAAATTATTTACCTAAACACCACTCGCCTAAAATTTCCAATGACGAAAGGAGTAAAAATATTCCAATGAACGTGTTAATGTATCTTCAGAAGTCAATCAGGAGGTATACGGCATGTTGAATCAAAAATATGTGATTGCATAAAGCCGAAACAGAACCTAACATCTGAGCGTTTTAAATATGAAAGTAGAGAGAGCAGTGAGAGAGAGAGAGCAGAGCATCCGGTTTCTCATTTCCTGACTAAAAACGTGCTTTGATATGAGCAGTGGCACAGTTTGCCGTAAAGTAAGGGGGAAGGTTTTCGGAAAGACGGATATATAGAGGAAGAAAAACTAACCACATCAAAACAACACAATGAATACAAACAAGCAATGCAATACAATACAAGATAGGAGATCTGTTAAGCTATCTTCCCAAAAAAATCCATTTCATCAGTTACAAAAAATAAGGCTTTGTCCCTCCTGACGCTTTGGGTGGAAATGAACTACTGATCGCCTTGAAGTTGAGCGATTGTACGTGATTTCTTGTATATTGCTAAGTTTGTTGTATATACCATGCAGGCTTTTGGTGACTTTCTTTCTTGAAACGTCTTTGCATAATATCATACTTTTCTTGGAGAGATTAGTTTGATAGCTCGAGAGTGGTTTTTGGAGTTTGGGGTACGGCATATTCAGGAGGAACCTGACAAATACAACTTAGGCACCAAATTCGTGGACCCCATGCCAAATCGAATGTCTCAGTTGTTAAACAATACAGGAGACTACACCAAGTATCATTAAAATGAAAATATAAGGAGTGGTATTCTTGTCAGTCAGTGCCTAAATAAAGTGTTATGATGTTTACTGCTGATTATTGGTTATCTTGCGACTGATGTGCTAAAATCGTTAAGCTATACATTTTTAACATATTAGACTAATAGAACCAAAAATGATTGTATTGGGTCTGGCATGGGAAAATAGCACCTCGTGCGAAACATTTTGATGCAAACCCATTATTATAACTCTGGTACGGTGTTCCAAGTTGTGATCAAATTAAACAAGAAAGATGTATTGCACATAATGCCATCTAACTCATCACACTTGTCTGTAATTTACTGGTAAGCAAACCACATAGATTGCTCAAATTTGTAAGAAAACGGTGCATCTTGTTTGTGTGTAGGAAACTCAAACTTATTTGAATATGACTTCTCCGTACTGATTTATCGTTGAAAAAGTTCCTCAAGTGGGTGCGATGTATTATTCACCTCATCCCCGGTTCTGTTTATATTAAATTTGAAATTATTTACCCATGAACGGTAGCTATCTTTAACTCGTGGATAGTGAGGAATAACTGTCAGCGTGTGTAAGCCTACCTCGCCCCAGACATTTTTGATGCGGCTTGGAGTCCAAACTGTGGGCCGAATAGTTCATGCCGTTTTCTTGCAACAACCACCTGATTAGGTGGGCCCTGAGTAAAAAGGCATTATCATGTGGAAAAACCATGGTCCCATATCTCTTTCCTGGAATTTTTGGGAGCACAAACACGTTTACGGTTTTAAATTCCTATTGAGCTGCCTTATTTCATTCCAGAATGATTATCTCAGAATTATCATCCACAAAAGACGAGAATTCAGACAAATATAGAACCCTCATCGTAAGTTCTATTGCTGGAAAGCTCTTAAGCAGGTCGATAGAATATTGAATAAACAGTGACTAGGAGATGGAGATTTTTTCTTAGTTTAACTCAGCATCCCTCACAACTTCTCTTCTCTCCTTTTCCTCGGTGCATTCAGTCCAACACACATCCTAGACACAACAGACTAGAGCTTCGCACTGATTGAAATACTTCAGTAAGGGTTCGTACGGGCTCATCCAGAATTTAAAATCTGGGAACTTTGAAATAGGTTCATAGCGGGATGAAGCCTAAATGTACTTGCACTTTAGACTGTCAAGTGTTCTCTGTTTGTTCAGACTGGAACAGAGGTAAAACGCACACGTTTCCCATGCGAGAGATCTCAAACTAAGAGTATGGATGAGTGTCACTCTATTTTATGGTAAGCTGAAATCAGTCCAGAATGTCTCCGATCCCTCATTTATGTAATTTATTCCCACCCAGACCCCAGAGCTTACAATAAGAATTCATTTCAAATTTGACCTTCAGCTTGGGGGCCTCTCTGATCTCGGTTTTGTTGTGTGATGCGTGATATGCGAACTGTACCCTTAGTTATTTTTTTGAAGATTTCCCGGTGCACCCACTCAAATTAACTCACATTTCGATCAGATTAAGTCAAAATCCGTGTACAGCAAGATACGGATCAATCCAGTACAGCTGTCTCGTACAGAGATTTAATGAAACCACTTTGTTAGGATGCTGACGAAAGAAAGTTTGCGATCAGAGCAAACTAAACTGATCATGAGACATTCAGCGGTCGGAGATCAGAGTGAAACAAGAAACAACCGATGAGGTTGTATGTTTTCCTCAAGTTCAAAGCGATCTATCAAACGAACTGTGTTGTTTACGAGAAGTTTGGTCCTCTGAGGTTGGTGACCTTGTGAAATAGTTCAAAGACAGAAATTACAAAACAAAGAACAAACCAGGATTGACGCGAAACCTTTATAACATAAAAATTCGTGAATTGAATTTTTTATAATCTCATGAACAAGAGAAAAATATAGCCTTCTCTGGGAAAAAATCTATTCATTCTCTTATCGGAATTCCTTAATCCGTCACATAATTTTATAATTCTGTTCTGTACTATGATCGATTTCTGCAAAGAAACGTTTCACTTTTCCTTACCTCATTGTTATAAACTGATACAACTCGCAGCATGACATAGTATCGACTGATGCGCATTATCGTCTGATTAGGGAATGATCATTGGTGTAATATATTGCTTACGTCCCACAGAACCGAACAAACTCCGATAGTTCAGAACTCATCAAAGCACAAAGGTAACCAGGACCTGTAGAGCAGACATAACCGTATGTGCCTATGTATTTATTCTAAGCACTTATAAGTAGTTGCAGATCGTGCAGTTTTTCCACTTCTCCTTATACCTCATTCCGACCCAAACGCATTATGATACATGGGATCACATGATACAGCTCAAATAGTCCAGGTTTCATATGTCAGCGTGCCGCGTGTAAACATTCTTCCATGGTGATACGATAATGCGTTCTGTTGAAGCTGGATGGTTCTGCAAAAAAATAAGCTTTGTGCTGTGTCAAAATCGAACTCGACTCGAAGTGCCAGGAACAAAGGATGTAAAACGTAAATTTATATTTGTAAATCCTTTGATTTCATCGACAAAAAATTGTTTAAAAAATACATATCGGTTAAGACCGATAAAGTTTCTCACCCTCTGGAATACAAGTGGATTCCAAATAGAGCGTGTTAGTACATTTCAGTGTGCTTTTGAGGAAGTGTCAAATACAAGGGTGGATGATGAACCTCTGTTGCTCTTATGGAGGTCAGTGGTGACCGGGTCACAGAGGTCAGTAACGTTTTTTCCATCGGAAAAGTGTTTCCATTCAGCGTCTATGTTGTCTTCATACCTGTTTCGGCTATTGCATGTGGATTGGGAGGTAATTACCTCGTCACAAAGGTATTAATCATGTGTGCTAGCTGCCATTAAGTGTCAAGAGAACTTCGTTAAAACCATCTTGTTGTAATTTGGTCTGTATTTGTGTATTCTCAAGTACAGAGAGAACTACAAATCATTTGTCTATGTGTTTGTCCAAGTAAGTACAATTGTTTTGATCTTGTCCGTATCCCAGGTTCTTTATCATTATTTACCTGATTCTGCAAAATTTTGTTGATTTGAAAGAATGGGCAGACACCGCAGAGGCCGTATATTTGTCTGATATCCAATGCAGGCTAGCTGGACTTTGGCATAATTATCCACGTCAACAAAACGTCAGAATGTTTGGAAACTTTCCGAAAAATATCGAACGAGTGCTAGTGGAATGATGCGATACGTCTAAGTTGACCTAGAATATTTTTATTATTTATTTTCTTCAAATGTCGCAAATTACCAGGACCGAATCTGCAAGCTAACCCATTTGAATTTATATGAAAAGTACCTCAAATCAGTAATTGATATCTGACGAACAAAAATTTGTGTGGCGCGTCAATTATCTATCGACAACTGAAAACCAGTTCTGTCTTTTCTAGATGTTTTACGTTTTCAATTAAATAAATGCGATGCACTCAATCATTTTTTTACTTGCCGCTCAAAATTCATTTTTTTAACCCACTTTTGATAATTTGTCATACTCTCCCCAGGTCGTATGGTCCTCGACCGTACAGTGGAACAGTCGGCTCTGGAGGTGGAAGTACAGGGCTGAGTGCGACCACCGGTCCGGTTGGGTACAATGTGAATCCTTTTGGTCACGTGCCGGGGATGAATATTCCCACATCATCTGCACCTCAGGAAACGACAAATGCCATAGTTGTAAAGTCATGGGGCAGCCAAGATCAGACAGATACTTCTAGTCGTCGAACACATGACCCCGGAGGACATTACATGGATTTGTTCGCTTCGATGGCACAGAATATTGGCCGATCGGCAAAATCCGCTCTTATCCCGGACAGCCAGTCCCATCCATCCGCTTTGATCAACGAAGTCAGTCCGATTGAGAACTTTGAGATAACTTCAGATTACACCAAAGGAATGCCTGGTCTTGGTCTCGCATTAACCCCACCCTGTAGGCCTTCGGGCTTGATATCTACCAGACCAACTCCGATGGAAATTGGCAAACCGGTCAATGAAAGAATAGTGCTCAACGTTTCCGGGCTGCGGTTTGAGACACATTTAAGCACGTTACAGAAATTTCCCAACACTTTATTGGGTAATCCGTCCAAGCTGAATCGGTATTACGACGCCTTAAGAAATGAGTATTTTTTCGATAGAAACAGACCCAGTTTTGATGCTATCTTATACTATTATCAAAGCGGTGGACGACTACGTCGACCGGTTAATGTGCCTATTGATGTGTTCACCGAAGAAATACACTTCTACGAGATCGATGAGGATGCCATCGAAAAATATCGGGATGACGAAGGTTTTATACGTGAGGATGTGAAAGTTTTGCCGGAGAATAAATTTCAGCGCAAAATTTGGCTTCTCTTCGAGTACCCCGAAAGTTCCATGGCTGCTCGTATTATTGCGATCTTCTCTGTTATTGTGATTATTCTATCAATTGTGATATTCTGTATTGAAACACTTCCAAATTTCAAACATTACAAAGTTGTGACCCTAATGGATTATGAGTTCTCCATGTTCGGTACAATGAGATCCAACACAACCGAAGCAATTCGTGCCCTGACCACTCGGGTCGACAACGATTCTCGCCTGATCACCGCGAACTTCGAACCCGATTGCAATTTGAATAGTGCAGGTATTTTGAAAGACACCCCACGGTGTATGGTCATCATGGAAGATGATATTCCGGCCATTGAGGAACCGTTTTTTGTCGTTGAAACCGTGTGCATTATTTGGTTCACATTTGACCTGCTCATACGTTTCGCCAGTTCGCCGGAGAAAATTGCATTTTTCAAGAACATTATGAATTTCATCGACATTGTGGCCATTATCCCCTATTTCATCACTCTTGGTACTATGATAGCAGATGAGAGTCGTAGTCAGAATCAGGCCATGTCCTTGGCCATTTTGCGTGTCATACGTTTGGTTCGTGTGTTTCGAATTTTCAAACTCTCTCGACATTCCAAAGGTCTGCAAATTTTGGGCCAAACTTTAAAAGCCAGTACACGGGAACTGGGTTTATTGGTATTTTTCCTTTTGATCTGTGTGATTCTATTCTCTTCCGCTGTGTATTTTGCTGAGATTGACTCGGATCGGACGTATTTTCGTAGTATTCCTGATGCATTCTGGTGGGCTGTGGTCACAATGACCACGGTCGGTTACGGAGATATGCGACCGGTCACTGTGTGGGGTAAACTGGTCGGATCGTTGTGTGCGATCGCCGGAGTACTGACAATCGCTTTACCTGTCCCTGTGATAGTATCTAACTTTAACTATTTCTACCATCGTGAAACTGAGACCGAGGATAAACAAACATTCATTCATGTGCAGTCCTGTGCCAGTTACGCCAGTTCACGATCTAGTGAGGTGGGATCACCCGATTCCCGATCTAGACGACAGAATGACGATTCGGATTTGGAAAGAGCATTAGTAGCCAAATCACCCGAGTTGGAATCTCATCTGACTGGTGTCGGTGTCGGTAGTGCTGATGGTGGTGATCAGGATAACGATGATAATGCTAATGCTATCCTGAACGGGGAAAAACAGCACGACCTGAAATCAGGACTGTTAGACGGTCGGTTGCGTCATAACCCGTCCTCTTTAATGTGTCGCTCGCATACCGTCGACGAGGTTGAGGCTCGTGAACGACCTTCTGAAAAGTTAAGTGGTTTGAAACAAACCCATTCGAATGTGGAAACACTTCGACTAACGGATAACGCCACCAGTCCTCATCGAGAAGTCTTCCAATCTTGCGAATCTGACACCCGCTTTCAACCGGATCCCATAGTTTGGACTGAACGTTTGCTCAAAACTGATCCAGAGCGTGCTGAGTTACCGGACCAAGAAACGAAGACATTAGTTAACCTGGAACAGAAGCGAACATTCAGTGACAGTTATTTACAGTCTGCCGTAATGCAGTGCGTCGAAAGGGTCGAAACTGATGTTGATAATGTTGCCAAGATAAGACCTGTTCCTTGCTTACCTTGTGTAAATACTTGCTTACCAGGCACCCCCATATCAAATGAACATTCTCGTCCCACAGAATTTCCAACCTCTACCATGCAGTTTAAGGATAGTAACCCACATCCCACTATGTTGACTACCTCGTGGTCTGCGGTTACTCCATCTCTCGGGGAGTTTACACGTTTGGCTGCCAGTGGGAAACAGCCACGTGTACCACACCAGCAAGAATCTCATCCAAACGCCAAAGAAACGTATCCTCTTTCAGTTCTACGTGAAACACGGTCGACCCATCCGGGAAAAGCGTACGGACGTAAGCTAAGACCGGGTGAGAACCCGATTGAAACGGATGTGTAGACCAACTATCGATCGCCAGTTCATTTACACATCACCGGTCTATCTGACTCTAGCTCTCAGACACACACATACACGCACACACACACACAATGCGCCAGCACAACAATAACAAGCGAAAGTCTAGTTCACATTCACGATAGATAACTTGACAATTTATCCCACCCATTGTTCATGTGCTAAACAATTCCCTTGTGTTCCTTTTTTCTACTCTCTATATAGCCTCTGATTGTGATCCTCCTTGTCAATTTTACATATTTCGGGCAGAGTAATCGTGAAACTGGCCTAGCGCCCACACACACACATACACATAAACAAACACGAACAGACCGACCGAAAAACACAAACATACACATTCAGACGAGCATACACACAGACATACAGCAATAGGTCTATTTTAGGAGGAACGAAACATCAAAAAACAGACAAGTAGTATATATTTATATGCCTCACACACACATCAGTAGTTGTGTTACATCTAACAAGACAAAGCCATTGCCTTCTCCGGTTGTAACGAATGGCAATAAAAACATACAATTCGAAGACCATTTTGCTACAGCTCACACCTACCTCAGAGCTCACCATCATCATCATTATCATTATCAATCTCACTCATCACCAACCGGCATCAGACAGTAAATGAGAGGCGGTTTGCCCCACGAAGACGCACACACACACACACACACACACACACACACACACACGGGAACAGACAACTGCAATCTAATCGCGATTCTACAAAAACAAGTCTGCTCACTTGAATAGAACATCTGTACAGATCGTCCGCGAGGAGTGCAGAAGCAGTTCGAGATATCTCAGACCCGCCACCTTACCACCTTGTCCTTTGACC